CCTTAACCTGTCCCATGGGGTTTAAGTACTACAGCATATGTGGAAAACCAATTCACACACCCCACCAAGATGCCTGCAATACTTTTGTAGAGTGGAGTGAAAACAGAATTCTGTTCAGCCTTAATACTGAACTTTTGGAGCATCAGTCTGCGTTTGCTTACATCCTGTGCAAACCCAATTAATTGAGTGGGGTTCGATAGGGAGTGAGGGCAGAACTGGAAACCTTGTCTTTTTAGGTTTAAATCCTTGTGCCAAATTTACTGTCATTTACACCACTGTTAATCCAGAATAACTCCACTGAAGTAAACAAGAGCAAAATTTGGCAGATTTCTTTTGATTTCTTTTTCAAATTAGGCACTAGTTTTAGTCAAATTACTTCATGCTATGAGGACAGTCAATGGATCTACTCTGGATTTACACTGGTGTAAATAAGAGTCGAATTTGGCCCACTTTTAGTGGTATTCTCTTAATACACAGTCACAAAATCTCTCACACTGTCTCTTTGGACCAAATGTGGCATATGTTGAGGCTATGTATAGACAATATTACTCATTCTCCATTAGAGATCTAACAGCACAATGTGGGTACGTTTAACTGCATTAATTGTGGACACAAACACATCATCATCAGCCAAACTGTTTAAGTTATTTTGGTTTCTTTGAAACACCAAAACCAAATAACTCATATTACAAATCAGTTGTGTAAAAAGTTTCATCATAAAATGTGAATCAATATTTAAGCAACCAGGGTGCCAAAAAAACAAAACAAAACAAAAAAACACCAACCAAACCACAACCCCAAAAACAACAAAACCCCACCCCGATTTAACTCCACAATGTCCTTCCCCTCCAAAATGTTAACTTGGCAAACTTATTTGGTGGGTTTATTTTTAATGTATTCTTGAACCCTCAATTTTTTAATTGACTTGTTGTACACTAATTTTCAGCCTCAATTTTTTTTAAACAGCTGAATTATGCCCTTCCTCCCCACCCCACAAATTAAGGGTTTATAATGGAAATGCTGACAGACCTTTAACTATGGTGGTGCTTGCAGACGCCACCATGATAAACAATGTGATGATGACTATTTAATGACTCTTGATGTAATTACAGCAGGAGTCAGATTCATTGAGCATCAATCTCGCTATTGTTATCCAAAAGAAGGATGCACAGAAACCACTCTTCTCAGAGCCCATCGTTTTACTCCCAAGTTTAGAATTATTGTTTAAATTGGTAAAGAGAGAGCTTACCACCACAATCCAACCCCCTCATTTGTTTATTTTGGACCATGCTTTTGTTCTGGCTCACATTACTCAGATGGGTTCAACTTTACTGCCCTGCTTTCTCTGAGCATTTCTGCATTTTTTAAATGCTACCAAATGGTTGTTTTTGGCTCCTACCATTATCACATGTTGACTGTAAGCATGGAAATAGTTATGGTAATATGGATGTAAATCATAACTGTAAATACCACATAAAGAAGACTGCCATATAATTATAAAAATAACTAATAGATTTCTTTTTCAAAGACAACACAGCTGTCCCTTTTAACCTTCCATTTGTAGATTCTTTTCTCTCCTGTTTTTATTTATAGGTTGCTGGGCAGTTTGACACAGTATATCAAGATTTTTGTTTCTAATTTTTTTGGGGGAAAAGATATAGTACTCATTTCATCATAAAGAGGCATTAGTGTACAATTTTAAAGAGAATCTAATGCCAACTCTAGAACATCATCTTGGAAATGATCTCCCTCCTAATGCATTTCAAAAGAATCTGTCAATGGCTACATGCCCCAATTTAAAATTAAACCCTGCCATTGAACTAAAGGAAGGGTCAGCCAAATGGCACATATCATTGGCACATATCATTGGGAAAGCAGCCCCATTCTTGTTCTTGTTCACATCTCTGTGTTCTGAAAATCACCACAATAGGTTATTATGCTCACCACAACAAAATACACCTTTTATAACCTACTCTGAGAAGAGCAGGTTGAAAAGTGTTCTGCGTAAACTTATACTACGCAACATGCCATGTTAATGAAGGAATAAACCCTTACATAGCACTAATGTTTTTACATATTGGGGGGTTTACATATTGTCTGGAATCTGCCACCATATGTTTTATCCCTCTCCCACCAGGCTTTGAGTGTTTTAAACAAAGTTACGCAAGGGTACGTTAACTCTCCTTCACTGTAAACTCACATGCTATTCCATCCTGCACAAACCTGTTCTTATCACACTTTTATTACTGTAAGATTACTTCAGAAGCACTGACAGTGATTAAACCTGAGGTTACAGACAATGTTTTTCATGTTAAAGAAAAAAACCCCATTGTTTTTTTGATCTTTGCAAGCTTCTTGCACTGCTGTTACTTATTCACCTTTTTGGGGTCTTTGTCCTAAATTATGTCCTGTACTTGGCAGGTTGAGAAGCTTAAACCAAAACAATAAGAAATCTTTAAACGAAAGAGACTAAAGTCCATCCATACCTCGTTTCTCTCTGAAACATTATAAACAGACAATTACTATGGCTCTGTGTAGAACAATGCACACCCCTCTGAATGGGTGAATTATGTGTAATCCCCTTTTGTACATAAAGGTAAAAGCAATCTACTAGAAAATGCTGGTGGGAAAGATCAGTCTGGAGCAGAAACATGTTAACTGCTTACTGAGACAAGATTTTAATTGGATAAAAAATAAAAATCCATAGCTGCATTTTTATCAATCTAAACCAATTAGCCTTTGTCCAAAAGTGTGTCATTTTATCAGATGTGTCACTGGATTGGGAGGCTGCCATGTCTGCCTCGGATGACTGCATGTTAAAACAATTTCTCTAGGGCGATGGGGTTCATCCCAAAGGTTTCCAAGTTCCAAGGGGCAGGTCATTTTTCATTACCAGCTGGAGCCTCACGTCAGACATGCCCCCACTCCATTTATTCTGCTTAGAGACTGAAGACTGCTTTGCCCTTCCTGACTCCCAATTGTTTCAAATTTGGGTACATAGCACTTGCCATAGGGAAAACCATTTAAAACAAGAATTGGTGTGATATGGGAAAACGGTTGAGGGGAAGCAGTTTGACAGCAGGATGTGGTAGTTTCTATTGTCCCATTAAAACAGGGATATCTGGGAAGCCTAACTTGTTCCTACTATGTAAACATACATATTTTAGCCTTGTGTGCAAAAAAGATGCAAACATATTCACTCATTTAAAAAAACAACAAACAAGAAAGGTTTGTCTTTTTTTGCATACCATAGTTACATTCTTGAGATAGGACTGATGTCATGAACAACGAATGAAAGTTAAGCTGTACCGAAAAAGCAAACAATTTAGCTTTCATTGTGGGGCAGACTTCACTGCTTGCCTTTATTTTGTATTTGTAGTTTGTTCTGAGCACCTAAAGGAAGCTGGAAACACTGCATGCATTTTGCAGGTTCACCTAATAAATTATCTTCATATGTTTTTATTCCCTTCATTGTTCTGGAGAAAATAAATATAGAGATAGAAATCAGCAGTTCCAATACAACATGTGGAAAGTTAAAAAGCTATGCTAGAATCAATCAATCAATCAATCAGAAAAGCAGTTAGGCCTTGCCCAAACCCCAATTGAAACTGAGCTCGCAACAACAATATTTAAATCATATTTATATATGATCAATGTTAATATGGCTTTATCATGGATTTTTGAGCTAGTGTAGATGCTGCTCCAAGAACCCTGCAAAATAGGTTCCAAAATAAACCCATTCAGTAGGTGGGCAATACATGCTTATAATGGACATTTATAATGATAATGTAAATCCCTCATTATTTTACCACCTTAAAACTTTTATGTTGATGCAAAGTGGCTGAAAATAAAAGCCTTTGGGAAACTACTAGAATTTGATTTGCTTGCATATGTTTAAGCTACAAGAACAAGGGCTGTAATGCGGATTATTCAATATAGCATGTTATTCACTGGGAGAACTTTCCACGGTATTCCATCCGTTACACCATTCTACCTCTTCCAGCCAGCTACCGCTGAGAATCTCAAATTAAAATTTCTGAAGCCATTACCAATAAAGCCTTGAGCCTGGACCAGCGGCAGAAGCAGTAATGATACACTAATCTCTCTTCTTCATAACATGGAGGAGTCAGAAGCATACATACTACTAATTTAGTAAGGCAATCGCTCTTTCAATGTTTGGAATTATTTCTCACACAAATTGACGGAAGTATTGTCACAGATATCCTTCATATTTCCAGACCTAATATATATTGTTTCCTTTGCCCCTGAAGTATATTATCTCTAGGACACAACCCATTTAGGTCCAAGAAACTAAAAGTCTAGGTAAATCAGTTATCCAAGATCACAGCATTGTATATTTCCGTGTTATTATGATAAAGTTCCTTCAACGTTAGGTGGCTGGTGGAATTTCACCTTTGTATCATTTTGACATAATTTTTGTAAGGTGCACTGTGGTTTCTTAAGAAGAGCCAACGCTTTTTTCCCCCCTTCACATAATTCAGAAAAGAAACAACTAAATGAACAACTTGAGGGAGAGACACACATAACCAATGGATATCCTTGATCACAGACAGGCTTTCTCTCAAATGTTAAAATAAGCTGTAGTGGAGAATGTCTGCTATGATAAAACTGAGATATCAACTGTTGCTATTTACAAATAATGCTGATAATGGCCTCTCTATTATCTTTAATATACTAATTCTGGAATGACAGACACCTTGTCACTATGCAGTATTTGTCTACCAGACTTATGTGACCTACCTTTAACATGAAAGTATTACTACTTGATATCAAGAATCAAGTTTGCATGGCAGTTAAATGGTTAAAAGTGCTAACAACATAAGAATGTAACTTCATCAAATCCCTTACAAAAATTAGGATATTTTTCTTTATTATGGTGCCCCATAGTTCTAAAGTAAATCATGCAAAGATATTATCTTGCAGTTCTGTAGATCAGATATCATTAGCCAGGGGAAAAAAAAAAGCTTTCATACACTTACCTTATCCTCTAACCGGATCAGTCTGGCTCCTACAGTATAGTATCCTTTGTCTACCCCTTTTTCTAAAGGAAAAAAAAATTGTGACAGTCATTAGACAAAGAATAAGCTGAAACTAAGAAGTATATTTAATTGGATTTAAAGCAAAATAGAAGCTAGTAAAAAGTTAGGGTGATATTGATGAGTGCAACAAGTAATTTTTATTTCATAGACTGTATGAGTGAAAGAGGGATTGGGTACACATGTAATATGTGTGTGTACATATGTCTATATGTACCACTTACACAATGTGTGCATATTAACTATACAGTCATGCATACTTTTATATAAGAACACATATTATATCTTCACGTTTATAAATGTGACAGGCAGAATAGTCCAGTTGACAAGACACCAACCTGGGATTTAGGAGACCTGGGCTCTATTCCCAGCTAAGACATTGGGCAAGTCATTATACCTTTCTTTGTCCTCATTTCTCTTCCTACCCTTTTTCTGTCTTGCCTGTGTTGGCACTGATCTTGAATTGAAGGATTGGTACTTAAAAGTGGAAACTGTTCAAAGCAGGGCCTGTCTCTTGTGTTTGTACAGTGTCTAGCACAGTGGGGCCACAATTCTTGGTTGGGACCTCTAAGCACTACAGTAACAAATCAGAAATAATAATTATATTATGAGCTGCAAAAAATATTCATAATGGGTAAAAATTTCAAAAGCACCTAACACCTATCATGGATCGGCTAGGTATACTGCAGCCACTGGCACATCCCCAGAAGACAAGACATCCCTGTCCCCGCCTGCGTGAGCCCATCTCCACCTGCTTCACTTCACATGAAGGCATCTCCCCTGTCTCTATCCCCATCTGCACCCCCACCCCTGTCCTTGCCTTTCTGCATCCAGTCGATTCCTCTTCCCCCTCCTTTTCAGCGGACAAAGACACGTTAGGTGCTAAGTCCATACTGGACAGGGACAGTGCTCCATGAACTAGGACTGTGTGGCTTAAAACCAGACAAATGGCCTCCCTAGCTAGCTATACTTGGTTTTACTTCAGCTCGGTGGGCTGAACTAGATGGCCTGTTGTGGTCCTTTCCAGCCCTAAATTTCCATGCGTCAATTAAGTGACTTAGGAGCTTAAGTCTGTGGGACTTAGGCACTTCTGACATTTTCACCCAATGAACTAAAATTGCTTTCAAATTTGTGATTTTTTTTCACACAACAAAAGCAAAACGTTGTAAATTTCTGATGGAAAACATGCACTCAAACAGTTTGCTATTAGAAATGTGACTTTTTCACACTCATGTTTACATTCCTTTTTCACACGTTGAGCTGGATTGGTTGTTTGAGGTTTGGCCCAGAAGCCACCCTCTATTTGGTTATAATTGCCTGAATGGCTGCGCCAAACAGTTGAACAGAAGCTATGTTGACCCATTTTTCTTAGTGTGGGTGGCCACAGCAGGGAGCAGTTCTTGTGCAATGTTCTAGTATTGTGTTTTTGGGAGGAGGGATACTTATTGGCTGCCCCTCTCCCCCTGAAGACACGCCGAGATTTTAGGAGGGCAATGGCCCTGCCTGCAGCCTTCTGAAGATATTAGATAGGAGAGAAGTTTTATCAAAGAAACTGGGGAGGTAGCTAGCAGATCACCAATCCTTCCCCAGAAGTAGACAACACAAATACGGTTGGAGGCATTTTGTGGGCAGAGTGGCCTGGCTGGATCCAGAGATTTGTGCTATTTGGACAATTCATTAGTTTAAGAACTCATAAACCTCTGAAACTTGAAGAGACAGATTCAAGATCCTGGTTTGGCTCATCTCCACCAAAAGTGGAATTTGCGGATTTGATAGGTACACAGCAGCCTATCCATTAAATTGCAAGTATGTAGAATCCTGACATTCCCCCATGTGTATTAGGACAAATATGCATGTTTTCTAAATCTGTGCTTCACAACCCCATGGGGTATGGTTGAATAGAAGTGGGGAGATCAGAGCTCTATATCCCAAATCTTAACTTCCTACCCATCTCAAGTAGGCAAGACCCCATTTATATTTTAAACATCTTTACAGAGTAAATACTTTTTGGTAGAATTGCACATGACCATCTTCAAAGGCACAAGTCAACAGGCTATAGGAAACTTTACACAGCTTTTAGATCAGATGAAATCCAGAGGCAGAGATGCTATGTGCATTTCTAAGGCCTTGG